AAAGGAAGAGGAGAAAGTTGTAGATTTCAGCAATAGAAAGAGAAAAGGGAAGGAAGGAGAAGAAGGTCAACTAGGATTGTGTATCATAACCCTAGCCGCCAGCCCCTCATTCTATTTATATTTAACTTAAATATGAGATATTACAAAGATGCCCTTAGTAGGGCGGCAACTCAAACTAAAATGGTTACAACCCTTTTAAAATAAAAACTAATGGGCCCAAGGCCCAACAACTTCTTAATTTAAAAGAAAATAAACTAAACACAAATTGGCCCACTCAACAACACAAATCGGTGGCCCCACTCAACCAATAGAACTGTCCTTTGACTCTCACCTCTATCTTCCGTGGTATCTCCTCTGGCTTTACTCCATTTAGTAGAATAGCAGCCGAGTAGAGGTCTCTCCAGAATACACCACCAAGTGATCCTCCACACATCAATGCAATGGCTTCAGCAGTTTCTTGCTTCCACAGATGAAAAGGCAGGCCTAGTATTCGAACCAACACCCCATCTTCAATAAAGACGTCTCTGGCATTTGACCCTGGACACCATCTTGAGATTGTGAAGTTCCCAAGTTTAGCTTCGATGTTTAAGGCCTCAACTTCTACTTTGTTCTCAAGTAAATCCAGCAGTGCCTTTCCTTTTTCAAAGGGAGTTAAGATGAACATTTTCTGCAACTTCAATCTTGTTGTTAACAACTCTGAAACTTTCGTCTAGTCTTCAACACAGGTTGATGTTTTAACTATCAATTTGTTTCCCCAGTCTTCTCCCTTTAGATTTGCTCCCATTCTGTGTTTTCCTGCCCCAATTGTTACTATTAGAGCCTCTTGCTTATTATCCTCAACCTGGTTATTAGTACTATTTGACTTCCCTTTTACTGTTGAATTTTCGTCTCTTTTATCACCCAACCATTGCAGCAGTTCACTTAATACCCCAAGAACTTCCTTCCAACCCTGACCTTTCCTTCCCTCTGGGAAGAAAACAGTTTGTTTCCTACCCTTTCCAAAGTATTCTGTCAAGGTTATGATAGACCCTTTAGAATTTCTCTTGCACTCTACTACATATTTTCTTCCTGCTTCTGAAAGAAACTCCTTACAGCTGATTTGTTTACCCTTGTTACTTGCACCTTCCAAAAATTCCTTGAAACCTTCAATCACCCCCATACCTTCTACCAGTACCACTCCTCTCCTTGCYTCCCTGATTTTCAGACTCAAATGCCCCTTTAGTGTCAGTTCTTCAAAAAGAAGCTCCTTAGCTTTAATCTTCAATGTTTTTCTCCAGTGCCCTATCTCCATGAATCCTCCCATGTTCATCTGTGACTTCCTAGCACAACGTTGTAGGTTACAACAAGAGACCTCTTGATAGGTAGATATAGAAATATAAAACTCAAACCTATTAAGTTGCAAGAGTTTTCTCTTAAGATGCTCAACTCAATGAGATCCACAATAGATGGGTGAGATTGTACAAGCTCAAAGGTCTTAGTTTTTTTTTTTTTTTTTCACCTCTGAAATTATTGAAGCAATAGAATCTCCTCGACACAAATGACTCTTGCTAACTTGCTTTCTCTAAAAGAAACTATACACTATTTAGAATGATAGCATTTTTTTTTCTCTTGCTTGCTTTGAATCAAGCTAGCCATCTATATTTATAGAGGATTTGAGAGCAAGTGACCATTTTCTAGTTGTTGGAGGGTTTGTACCATTCTTAATAATGACTCAAATTTGCTCCAACATGGTAGAAGGCTTACCAAAGATAGCAATGCGTGTTTAAGCCTTTAAATGGTCAAATTTATTTTAAGTAGTCGACTACCAAATTTTGGTAGCCATCTACTAGACGAAGGGAGGAATCTTTTTTCTCCTCCAGTCAACTACTTCCTATTATTAGTTGACTAATATCAACTTGAACTTGTCTGTTTCAGTTAGTTGACTATGCTTTTTTGGGTAGTCGACTACTTCTCTCACAGTCTTGGTAAATCATGCCTCGGCTACCGCAGTTGGTCCATTATACATTTCTAGTGGTTGACTATGTCTCTCACTCAAGAAAATCATGCCTCGACTGTCACAGTTAGTCAACTGTACATTTCTGAGTAGTCAACTATACTACAAAGCCTTCACAATCTTGCCTTATAGACAGCCCAACACTTAGAAACCTTGGAAATATCCATCCAAAGGTTTGGTACTTCCTTCCTTTAAGCTTTCAAAATAGACTTTTAAGATTGTAATCACTTGTTTAAGTCTAGGAAATCCTAGGAACCAAACCTATTCTAGCCAATGGTCTCTAAGGTTGCCTAAACTGAGTTTGGTCTTGTTGAGCATCATAGAGAGTGCATCTTACACAAATGATCACATTAAGATCCTAAAGACTGACATTTTTAAGTACAACTTGATGTAGTCTTCCTCCTTGTTGAGTTGATGTAGCAGTTAACCTCTTGATAAGCTTCAAATCTTTTGAGTTCTTGAAGTAGCCTTGTCGTGCTTGAATTCACTTGGAGCTTCCTCAGTGGAGATACTTGGAGATGGTAATGCGAACATGAAGCACAAGCAGCTGATCAAGTAAAACTTCCACTTCTTCATCTTTGGTAGCAAACTTGCTTTAATACAATTGAGGCTCAGAGAAGCTTATTTAAGATAGATGCATACTTAATCACACTATTAGTATTCTCAATGAGTTTGTTATCATCAAAAAACGTAGGGTCACCAAAGTTGAGCAGAAAATGGAGGTAGTTTTTCCATTTTATTGGGGGAAGTGCCCATATTACTATCTGTTTTAGATAAGTGAAGCATAAAGATCAACAAATTGTGTGAGGAACTGAGAATAGATTTTTGTTGATGGTGTGGATGGAGGATTATGTGAGAGGGAGCTTATTTAGGCAGTATTTTCTGATTAGAATGAGATGGTGGTGAGGATGGGAATTCAAATGAAAGGGCAGATTAAGGGATGGTGGAGTGGAGCCTCATCTTCTTCGTGGCTGAAAAAATAGTTCCATCGGCTATATTAAATTAAACAGACCAGTGGACTTTCATCAAGGTGAAAAACCAAGATTTTAACCACTGAAGAATGCATTGCTTTTAGGGGATAACTTCCATTTTCTATTAATTTGTCTCTATGCAGCAACAAGCCCTACATGACATGGTGGAAGGCTCATCTCTGAACCTTTTTTCTTGTAGTTTTTAACTCCAAAACTAAGTAACTAACTACCAATCAGAGTGGCAGGATTGTGACTCAGAACATGAGCCTTTATAGATCAATATACAACATGTGATCTCTTTCTATTTAGTTTTAATTTTGGTAGTTTTCATGTTTTTATCTCTATCAGTTGGGCCATGACCCAACCAGTTCTACCAATTGACAATCTAGCTCACAAAACTAAACTTTGTTTAGTTTATAGTTGCATTCTAGGAAGTGTATTTTTTTTTCACTTTGTTTATAGAACTTTCTTGTATCACAATCTTTTCCTGCAAACCAAACACAGCCTTAAAGTTTGTGTCATACTGCAGCACTTGCATCATTGTTTTCTCTGTTTATTGTATTCTTTTCATTTTTTTTTCTTTCTTTGTTTCTACATCAGAGCTGTTCTTCAAATGCATTTCGGCGTATAGTGAATGGATTTTTGGATTGAATATGCAGAAATTCTCAAGATGGGGAGCTGTTGATACCCAGAAGAATAGGCCATCTCATGCATGCAAGGTTATTACTTTTATATATTTTAGTTTATTTTCTTTTTAGCTGACCCCAAATGATTGGGATTAATGGTGAGTTGAGTTTTCTTTGTCTTTCTTATTGTCTGTTCTGTTCTACAAATTTCACATAGATGATTAAATACTTTATGATATGTATTGTTTTTATTTCTTAGAATCAATGCCAGCCTTATGGGAGTGAAGCATTGCCAAAAGGTATCCTTTCCACAACAGCCGACTTGGAAATGCGACCATTATGGGGCACACCAATGAAAATGGTATTTCAAACTATGTATTGAAATCTCAATTAGTGATAGAAGACAATATTATTTTCTTAAGGCATAAATTGTTATGTCCTACACATATTTTTTAAGTGCATATGAACTGGAAGAAAGTTCTTAGTGTTACTAAAAGATCATGATTCAGACTCTTCTTTAACCTATTTGTGAATCATGAACTAGTATCAACAAATAAGGGTATCTTATATTTTGCAAGGCACTTTTGGTATTGATCAAGATTCTTGTGCATTTTGAAATGTTATCGGACCAGTGATTTAAAAGGCACACCTAGGTGCACAAGCAAGGCACATTTTAGGGTATGCACCTTGCCTAGGTCCTAGGCGCAGCCCTTTCAAAAGGCGCACTAGCACGCCTAGTGCGCCTAGGCGTGTGCCTGGTGCACCTTGCGCCTCAGCCCAGGTGTGCTCCTTTTTAAAATTTTATGCTTTTCTGCTTTTTTTGAACCTAGCGGCTGGGCCGAGGGCTCCATCCCTGGACCTCCATACCACACCCCTCGAGGGGCATGCCAGTGTGGCACAAAGGCGGCTTGTAGAATCAGTAATGCAATATGTTTTGCCTCACATTAGCTACTTGAAGTAATGCAATTGAGGAAAAAAAAGAGGTTGTGGGTTTTACATGCTTGAAAATATTTTATATGTTTGATTTTATTTTTAAATTTTCATTTGAATATGCTTTACATGTTATGTTTATGTATTTTAATTTTAGATAGAAGGTTTTTTAAAACATTTATTTTAAAATTTAAGTTTATATTTTTTACTAATATATGTTTAATATTTTTTTGCATTTTTTTGAATTTTTTTTTTAGCATTTTTGTGCCTTGCTTCAAAAAGGCGTGCGCCTTGCCTTGCGCCTCGGGCGCAAATTGCCCCTTGTGCTTTTAAAACACTATATTGGACCCAAGTTTACTAGATTTTGAAATTTATGCAATCATTTGTGAGATGCCTAGTGCTCATTGACTTATTTTCAGTGTGGTATGTGAAGTTGCTCCTATAAATACTAATCCACTGTCAAATGTTGTGAATGACAATATTCTTAACTCCTGTATAATGTAACTGGATAAATGTGTATCCCGCAGTATCACTCTATTTTTCATCATTGACACAGGAAAGGAAGACTTATTACCTGCGGTGGATATTGAGATGGTTCAGCTAAGCCTGGCATAGCCATTAACAATGTCGATCCCAGTTATCTGAGGTCCTAGGAAGGGTGAACTGACCTAACCTTTGGCCTTTCTTTTTTCTCAAATAGCATCCATTCTCAGACTTGAACCTTCTTTCTCATGCTTCATGCCCGAGATTTTACTATTTCACCAAGCAGTGGCTCCTAGCTAAATCCAAGATGATTTTGTCCTTTTTTTAATGAATGGGAATACTTAAACCTCCGTTGTGTTTTCTGACAAGTACTTAAAAGACAAAATAGATATTACAACCTAATGTAAGATGGCCCCTAGCTAGGTCTTCTTTGCATAGGACCAAATCATCATAGTCTACATTCCCCCATTTTAAAACCTATTGGAGCTTCTCCTAGGTTTCTTTGAATGAGTTCATTTCTGACTCTCTCTTTCTAGTTTTTCCACTTATTCATCTCAACATTTGCATTTCTACTACACATTTTTTTGGACATGTTGTTTCTTGATTACCCAACATCTGCATGGGATTCTGCATGCACCCCTCCATTTTGCCCATCTTGTTCTAATTCTTTGGGTGATGTCATCCACAATCTCTCCCTTGTTGTTCTTTGGACATGTTGTTTCTTGATTACCCAACATCCGCATGGGATTCTGCATGCACCCCTCCATTTTGCCCATCTTGTTCTAATTCTTTGGGTGATGTCATCCACAATCTCTCCCTTGTTATGAACTATATCATACCAAGGTAATGAAAGAGATCACTGTGAGTTATCTCTTGATCTCCAATTGTAAATGTACCCTGATTTTTGTTTTTTGATCAATAACTTAATCAATTCATTTAGATGATAAAAACTATAAAATACAAAGAAGAAAACAAGGAGAGATAAACATAAACTCTCTTAGCTCTCCCAAAAAGAAGAAAGGTTACAACATTGCCAAAGAAAAACTGATTTCTTCCCACCCCTTGTTTAGCTAGACAATCAGAAAAGGAGTTAGCATCTCTTTTAACCCAATGTAGTATGACCTCCATGTTTTGTAACAAATTCCTAATTCTCCTATGCTCATGGATGAAACCCCACCACCCAATGTCCCCCTATTATTGCAGCCAATTAATTAATAACCAACTTGGAGTCTCCTTCAATTACCAATTTACAAATAGACAACTCCTTGGCTTTTTGCACACCTTCCAATACAGCCATTATTTCAGCCCTCAAAGAGTAAATGTACTCTAAATCGTATTCCTATTATTATTAAATTTATATATCAATTTTGTTTTTGTTTAATCAATTATTATTACTATTGTCATAAGCAAATAACAAACATCATGGGACCTCCTCCTGAATATGTTTAGTTAATTCATCCATGAGTAATGCAAATAAATAAGGATAAAGTGTTGAGCCACGTTGAAGCCCACTATAATTGTATAATTTGATGTCTCTCCAAACCAATGTTCTTACATTGGTTATTGCACCTTCACACGTATCCTTAATTAGGTTCATATTACCTATTTGGTGCTCCTTTATTTTCCAAAACCTGCAATTTTATCTCTAGGATCTCTATCATATGCTTTCTCCTAATCAATGAGTACCATATGAAGATCTCTTCTCTTCTCTCTAAACTTTTCTGTCAATCAGTTCAAAGTTTCATAGCATGGTTCATGAGTAAATCACATGATAATTATTACAACTTTTTTTTATTGGAAACGGTAACTTCATTAAAGAGTTTTCAAAATACAAACATCAACCCCTAGTGCTCTTTGTTATTACAACTTTGATATTGCCTTTGTTTTTAAGTATAGGTACCACAGTGCTCTTTCTTCATTCACCCACTATCTTCTTCGCTTTCATCATCTTATTATATAGTTTAGTTAGCCATAATATGTTTACATCTTTCATACCTTTCCACAGTTCTATTGGGATATCATCAGGTCTTAATGTCTCTCCCTTCTTCAACTTATTTAATGTCTCCTTCATTTAAGAAATTTTAATTTTATTATGGTACATGCTGTTTTTAGTACTATTATACCTACTAGTCCCTCTTGCATTAGCATACTTTATATGTCCTTCATTTAATAATTTTTCAAAATAAATTTTCCATCTTTCTTTAATTTTCTCATCTTTTATTAAGATCCTTTGATCTTCCTCTTTGATGCATATAACATGATTTACATCTTGGCTTTTACTTTCTTTAATTTTTGCTTGCCTATAAATTCTACTCTCTCTCTAGTTCCTAATTTATGATGAAGTTTATCATATGCCTTAAATTTAGTTTCACTTACTTTTTTTCAACTTTTTTTTGATGAATGAAGAAATTTATTAATTCAGAAAAAACACCACTGAAGAGGCACAAGCTGTTTCCTCTTCAGAAAAGTATTACATCAAAATAAAAGAGAATTAACCATAAATAAAATTACAAAGCAGCCCAAAATAGCTGCTCCCTTGTAGTCCCCTGCTTAGCTAACCCATCCGCTAAGGTGTTTGCTGATCTTCCCACCCATAGAGAGGTAACAGTCATATTTCTTGTAAGCCAGTTTACTCTCCTTAATAAATCTGTGTTGCCACTTGGCTGAAGTTGGGTCTTTCAACCATCCCACCACAATTTGAGAGTCTCCTTCAACTACCAAGTGCTGAACCCCTAATTGTTCTGCAATCTGAATACCTTGTACCGCCGCTAAAATCTCAGCTCTATTAGAGTCTCCTATTCCCACAGGGCCTGAGAACAAGGCTAATATGTTGCTCTCCATGTCTCTCAGCACCCCTCCTATCCCCGATGGGCCTGGGTTTCCTTGGCTACTGCCATCAAAGTTCAGCTTTACCCATCCTTCAGGCGGAGGGGTCCACACTACAGATTCCCTGTCCTTCCTTGTGAGGCTGTTAGCCACCACTACCCAGTTTCTCCAAATATCATCAAAGGAAAAGGTATGAAAGAATTCCAAAGTTCTCAACCAGTGAATGACCCTAGTCAAGATACAATCCTCAACGGCCTGAATGCTTCTTTCTTTTTCTTTGAAAATCCTTGCATTCCCTTCTTCCCAAATTGTCCACAATGCAGCTGCTCTAATACATCTCCACATCAATTTTCCTTTTTTTGTAGGCCACACAAAAAAGGAGGGATCGAACAGTTGGCTTAAGTCTGTGGACAGATTCCACCTACACCCAAAAAAAAGAGAAAATCCAACTCCAAATAGCTCTAGAAAAGGAACAAGATACAAGTAGGTGGGAGCAATCCTCACCACTAGCCCTGCAAAGTACACACCAGTTAGGGGATAAACACATGAAAGGCCTTTTCCTYTGCAAGAAATCCAAGGTATTAATCTTTCTATAAAACACCTCCCAGCAGAAAATAACAATTTTAGGTGGAACAGGTCTAGACCAAATCTCCTTAGTTGGAAAACCCCATTGACTCAAGAAAGAGCAAAGAGCCTTAAAAAAGGAAGCACAAGAAAAGTAACCTTTTGGAGGAAATTAGCTTTGTGGAAGAAGAAGATCCTCATGGAGAATCGAGAGACGGAGAAATTTATTCAGGCGGCAAAATGGAAAAGAGTATTTCAGCTGGAGAAGAAGAAGATCCTCATGGAGGAGATAACAAATAGGGGGATGAAGAGTCTGAAAATAAGGGAAGACCAACGAGCAACGATCCTAATGGACTCAGAAGTGGTCGACTGGTTTAAAGGTTTTGTAGATGGTTTACTACTTGTAGAAAGAATACAGGGATGGAGAAATGAAATGACAAACAAGGGAAAAAGATTTATAATAGAAAATAGAAGGAACATAAATGGAGGTTTTCTTGTATTAACAGAGTTCTTTGGCAAAGGGAGGAAACAATTAGTATGCCTACCGGAGGGACAAGC